TACTTGCAGATAAACATTCAAATAAGTGTGCTGTGTTACAACGGATGTCAAACTGAAAAGAATGTCAAGCTGAGCACAAACATCGACCACAAACATCAAAAAGGGTGACCATGTGTTAGCAGGTGACCTTTCTTCCATACTAGAGAAAAACAGTTTTAAACACTCAAATTAATTAGTGAGAGAAACAAGACTACAGCAAGACATAGAAGAAAACCACTAAAATCCCAAGATTAAGTCTTGTCCTTACAAAGACAGAATCTGCCTCACTGACAACTAAATGCCCTGAAGGACAGCCCTGTCTGTGAGGGAGTAACGTCATGTGTGCGTAAGAACAGAATTTAGCTTTTAAAATACATGTGTTGTAACAAACTGGCACAGGTAAATGTGTGCTTCAGAGATTAACATCTTGAGCTAAATTTGAAAGAATTATTTTCTCCTCCTATGGAGCACTGGAAGCCTTATTAGAGCTTGCCTTCCTGTACAACATCTGGCATGGACTGACACAAGCTACCTGACTAAAGGAAATGTTAGCCTAGTGACACATCAAAAACGTTTATCTCTATGTCATGAAAAGCTGTGCTGAAAAATATCACCTTATATACGCTTCCCACTTCATTCATCTCCCTAATGTACTTTAAATCACTTCAGGGATCATGAGGTGCCCTACTTGGAGAGCTTTAGTCGCTGAAACGCTCTTCCCACAGCCCAATTACTCAACACTGCACAAAATGCTGCTCCCACGGGGTGGGGTTTGCAGCCTCCGCACCCATCAGAGCTAGCTGCAGGTGAGCACCACTGCTCCAGTCCCTCCAGCTGTGCCATGCACCTGCAGGCACGAGCTCCCAGGAAAGAAAAGGAGAAATACTGAAAAACATTTGGGACATTTCCTGCTAAGAAGGAAGATAAACAACCAGCAACACCTCCAAGGCCTGAAGCTAATGGAACGGCTGGTCCCTGAAAGCTCATGAGAGGGAGCAGCAATAACCTCCAGCAGACTCTCAGGTTACTCCTTGTAGCACATATGCTCATAAAGAAAGCACTGGTAGTCCTGCTGCAGCAGCCCAAGGGCTGGCAGAGATGTGCCCAGCTTTTAACACAAGCTCCCCAGAAAAGAAAAGGGACTGGGACGTCCTCCTCCTCCTCCGGACACCATCACGTTGCTCCAAAGGCACAGGGCCTCTGGCCACCAAAAACTGTCAGTGGGAGTTACTGGCAATACGTACACCCAGTGAGAACCTATCAGCGATTCACCTTTTCAAGTATGATCAGAGATGCAAGCTCTTCCCTATTTTTTTTTTTTCTTGGAAGACAGAAATTGAGGGCTAAACCTACTAATAAAATGGGTCTGTTTATGTGAAATCAATTTGGATCAAAGCTAGACAATTCTCAAAGGAGGAGGAAGAATGGGTACAGAAAATGGCAAAATGAAACAGACAATCTGCTCATTATTTGGTATTTTGAAAAGACAAGGGAAAAGTGAAGTCACAGAAGTTCACTTCTATCTGTATGACTTCCTACACATGAAAAATAACACAGACAAGCCTAGGCCCTTACTGAATAGTATGGAAATCCCAAAAGCTTAATCAGATGAAACCATACAGAAGCCAGAACCAGCAAACACACATTCTTCGCTTTATTCTTGGTTTCCTGTATACCTGTTCATCACTGCACTTAATTTTAGAAGGGCAATGTTGTAAATGCACATGCCACAGTTGAGAGGGCCATGATACACAGAGCATCACCACAGAACATCAGAAGGCTTCAACCCATACACAGTAACACCATACCTCATCAGAAGGCTTCAGACATCTGCTCATACAAAGTAACACCAGACTACTTCACAAGGCTGCAAGTGTCTGCCCGTCTTGTTCCTCAGCCCAACCTTTTATACCCTCATGGTTCATGCACGGCACCTGTGCCCTCTGCTCCCTTTGGTGCCTGGTCAGCACACCTGGGCACTCCCTGCCTCGTTCCCTTCAATGCTGCTCACCTGCTTGGCACAGCTGCAGCCCTTTGGGGATGAGGCTCCAGCCCCACTCCCAGTTCCCACAGACTGTGCACCTACAGAGTAACACACCGTTTTATGCTTTTCCTTTTCTACCATCAGCAGTATAATCACCTCCTGCAAGAACATCATCTATTGATACAAAACCAGCTGTGGATATTCCAGTAGTTTAGACTCCAGCTGACTTAAAAAACACCAAGATCAAAACTATGAAGAACACCTTAAGAATAGTAGGAAAAAAGAATATAGTTAATTCTAACAAGCAAAAGCATTTTTGCTAGGCTGAAATAGATTCAAGTCGCAAATGTTTATTACTTTACTACTAAAATCAGAAAATCATGGAATGGAATTCTGTACGGAACAGACCATCAACTTAAAAGCACCAAGGTTCCCCCCTGCTAGAACAGGAGGCACAGCTTCCTTGTCCCTTCCAAATTCCAGCCAAAGCCCACGCCTTTGCATACAGGCAATTTGCCTGAAATTTCCCTGTAACTATACAAGAAAATTGATGGGAACACACCTTCACTGGCACTAGGTGTGACCAAATCAGACTTACAAAGACTATGAAAAAAAAGAATTTGGATAAATCTCCAATAACATTTATGGCTGAGATGAAGAGGGGAAGAAAGACAACTACTGCTCTAACTGGATCGAAGCCACTTAAATAATTTTTTAATTTCAAAACTACTTTTAGGAAGTTTGATTTAGTCTTGAAAGTCTTGACTCCTCCATATCATACACTGAAACTGCTCTCACTGTGTGAGAAGCAAAAAGGCCTAAATTTGACATTTTGTTTAAAGGACTCGAAGGGAAGCAAGCCCTAGACAAGGAACACATTTCCTCTTAACTCTGCTCAGAGATGAAGCTGACACAATGATTTACACTGGAATGGGTATTTCAGTAGGTCTGACACACAGGAGATAAGTGCACTGCTACCTCCACATACAGCAGTTCAGATGGAGTAGAACAAAACTTAGATCTAAAAAGCAGCACTTGAATTATAAACTCCATCCCCAGTAGCAGCCAGGAGAAAGCACCAGAGTTTGAGGCTTTTTCAGGTTTAGCCTTTTTGCACCACAAGTGACATTCAAGTGCACCTCTCCACAATTAAAAAATTGCCTCAGAAGAATCTAAAGATTTCTCCAAGAAGCTTGCCCTTCAGAAGCTATTTTGTAGATTTCCAAGTGCTAAAACCCAAAAGCACCTCCACAAAAAACAGCCCAGCAAGTAAAAAACTGCAATTATTTTTGAGATGTCTGAAAACAGAGATGGAAAGGCTTTCCCTGCATTCATGGACAGGTACCATGCATGTCCCAATTTGCAAGGATATGCCACAGCTCAGCTTTGAAGCATAACCCCTTCCCTTATGGGGAAAAAACTACATGAAATTTGCCTCATTCCATTTTATGAGCAAAGTTCTCCCAAATGTGCTTCTACTCCTTAACAGAGCACATCAAAGACCAACTTGGTCCTGGAATGGACAAAGTACAAAAATTACAGCTTGAAATACAGTACAATCCAAATGTTGAGTAGTTAGAAAGACCCAGGTTCTCCTCATTTAGCCTACCATTCCAGGATTTACCCCATCACATACACAACCCATGGCACATTGGTAACCTGACTACTGGGCACAGGGTTCCCCACCAGTTACCAGTAACCTGATGATGACCTTGTCATGGCTTCTCACATTGAAAATTACTCAGATCTATGAAACCACATCGAGTGTGGTGTTTTATTTTAACCATCAAAATTGAACAGATCACAGCAGTGTGCTAAATAATAATTAAAAAATCTGATTAAAGCAAACTTGTGAAAATATTTACCTCAACTATTATAAATTGCTTAACCTACCTTCAAGCCTGTAACTGTACAAAAAAAATTTAAATTTAAGTAACCTTTAAAAAATAATCTCCCAGTAAAAATGAAAATAGTTAAATTCAGCAAAAAGTAAATTTTCACACAACTTTCAACAGCCATGAGTAACAATCATGGAAAGATCTTTATCAGAAATTGCCATATCGTCCTGTGCAATGTCTTATGTTTAAACTTAATGACTTCAGGCTGCGTTTACCTGCTGTGATTCCTTTGGGCCAGAAGCAGACCAGCCACAAACACATTTAGGCTCTGACACTGTTTACTTCTTCACTGCCGTGTTCTTTACAAATTCCCATAAAAACACAGATAACCTTAGGGGTGAGTGATCCCTAATCCCTGACTCCGGACACAGGCACTCCAGCTGGGAATTAAGGAGCAATTGACAGGGCACCGCTAAGACTCCCTTTCCACAACAACAGCCCACACCATGTGTATATTTACCTACAATGTATCATAACAACCCATCCGCTGCTGCTGACAAGCTACTGGAAACGCGCATCAGAGGCAAGGCAGAAACAAGCTGTGCACAACCTTGTAACAGTAACACTCCTCACTTCATCACAGCGACTTGCTCCACAATAGTTAGATCAAAACCCACGTTTTTTTTCTTTCCTCATCATAATTTTCTTCTCACAAAAAAGTTTAATCTGAGGTAAAAGTACATTTTTCCTCATTCACTCAGTCAGATAGGCCCTAATGTTCATCTTGAAATGCAATGGGAGCACAGAATTCAGTGCAGCTGTAAATGCTTAAAATAAATTCAGTGATGGAAACTTATTATTGACTATCTTCCCAGAAAAAAAGTTTGCAAAATGCTTCTGACTCAAATTATTTACATTAAAAAATGAAGAGACTGCATTATATTAGATTTTAGCTTGTGAACATCTTGTTTTGAAATCATACAGCAGTCTCTGACTTCCATGCAGTCAATCCATGAAATGTGTAACATAGAAAAAAATCAGGCATCAAGGAAAAAATTCCAACCTAGGAAATAATAATTAAAATAGTATTAAAAAATCTTTTAAAACACTGAGCTGTTTTTATCATTTCCCAATGCTTAGCACATGAACACAAGAAACAGGGAGGAGGCACCATAAACACCAGATTGAAATATACCCACCCCTAGCTGAAAGCTTTTTGGTGTTGATAATTTTGGCAGCGTACTCTTGTCCTGTGGTGATTTTCATACACCTCCTCACGACGGAGAACGCCCCTCTGGAAACCAAAACCGGGCAAAGTGTCAGTCCAACTGAAACACTCCAGTGCCATTACCAGCTAACGGGCAGCACGGAGGGCTGTGATGTCGGCAAAATAAAAAAAAATTTAAAAAAAAAAAAAAAAAAGGGATTTTCTGATTTTCTGACAGGGACGGTCAGCATTGATTTTATTCAGCTGAACAGTGAACTCCGCGGGGTAGAAGCCGTGTGACCAATCCCGCTAGCTGGGGCGGAGGGCGGGCGGGTTCTGGCTGTGTCCATGCCGGCACACCACGGGGGGACACAGGGCGGCGGTGGCCGTGTTCCCCTCAGCGGGGACACCGGGCCGGGGGCGACACCCAACATGGCGCTCAGGGCTGCGCCTCCCGCCCCGCCGCTGGGAGGCGCCCGCCGCGCCCCGACACCCCTCGCAAACCGAGACCCCCACCCAGCGGCTACCTAAGAGCTAAAAATAACAATAAAAAATAAATTACAACAAACAGCGCCACAGGGGGTTAAGGGCAGCTCCCTGCCACCCGCCCACAGCCCCTGGCCGCCCCGGGGTCGTATGGCTGGAGCGCGGGCGCTCCCGCGGCGCTCTCGGCAGCCGTGAGGGGGCCCCGGGCGCGGCTCCTCCCAAGGCTCACACACCGACCCCCGCAGCCCTCGGTGCCTTCACCCTCCGCTCTGTCCTTACTTTCCGAGCTCCTCGAAGAGCTGGTACTCGTCGGTGAAGCGTGTGCAGGTGGTCGAGGCCATCATGAGGACGGGCGGCCGCCGGTGAGTCCGGCGGCCGTGGACGGCGAGGCGAGGACGGCGAAGGGGCTGTGAGGCGAGGCGAGGTGAGGCGAGGCTCCGCGCCGGCTTCTTCTCCTCCTCTTCCCCGCCACCGCCTCCTCTGGTGACGGCGTTGCCTCCGCGCCCTCCTCCGGTCTTCCCTCTCCCCTCCCCTCACCCTTTAGGGAAGCAAACAAACAAATATTTAAATAAATAAGTAAGTAAATAAATAAATAAATACGTATCCTGCTCGCTCCCTCGCGCTCGTCACGGAAAACTAGCGGCAAAAGGGAAAGCAAAACCGGGGCGGGGGGCGCGGCGCTCCTTCCCCTCCTGCTCCCCGGCGCCTCAGCCCGTCCGCCGGTGCCGTGCCTCCCCCTAGCGACCCCGGCCCGCGACTCCCTGCCGTCGGGGACGGCGCGACACCCACGGGAGACTCACCGGGGCGGTCGAAGCACGGGAAGAACCTGCGCTCCGCGCTGCCGAGAGCGAAGACCGACCTCTCCCCGGGCGCTGCCCCGCGACGGCGGCGGGAGGCGCCCTGAGAGAAGCGGATGCACCTGCGCGCGCCCCCCTCACCCCCGCCCCGCTCCTCAGTGGCCGCCTGTGACGTCACGCCTCGCCCGAGCGCGAGGGAGGGCGCGCGGCGGGAAGCGCGTGCGGGTGCGCTCGCGGGCAAGGGGCCGTGACGTCACAGGGGCCCCCGCCGCGCGCGGGGAGTGGGGGGGGGGAGCGGGAAGACAAAGGGGCGCACCCCACCGGGCACCTCGTGACGTCACAGCAGCCCCGGCCGCGCGCGGGAGGGGGGACACACAACCCGGGCACCTCGTGACGTCACGGCCGCCCCAGCCGCGTGCGGGGGGGGGGGGGGACACAGGCGTACCGCGCGTGCGCCGGGTCGCGACCGTCACCGGGGCCACCCGGGCCGGGAAGGGACCGCGCACACCCAGCCCCGGGACCGCAGCCCGGGACCGCCAGGACCTGGAATAACACAGCGCCGGCAAGGGCTGGGGACACGTGGGAAATGTCACCGCAAACAGCTGCCTCGCTCTCTTCCACAGAACTACAGAGTATCTTGAGTTGGAAGGGACGCACAAGAATTATCAAAGTCCAACTCCTGGCCCTGCACAGGACGCCCTCCAAAATCCCACCCTGTGTCCGAGAGCGTTGTCCAAATGCTCGTTGAGCCCTGGCAGCCTTGGGGCCGTGACCACTTGGACATGGAATGGGGCCACCCAAAGGGCATCTGATCCTTTTTGATAAACCTGAATTGCTTTTGCTCCTTTCTGATCAACTGAGTGGTGGTGAGCCACGTGAAGAGCTCAATCCACACCTGCACAGAGCACAGGCAGTAGCTTGGTTACAAGCAAAGATCCACTATAAAAGGCAGCCTGGAGCATCTCCATCCTCATTTTGCTAAGTGAGAAGACAAGAAGCACAAAACTCACCCACAAAAAGCTTTGCATTAAACCCCTGGAGTTTTCAGAATCAGCATCCAGAGCTGTGGTCTCGTAAGAAGAGTTAAAACCTGCCAACCCTTCCCAAAAGGAACGTGAATGTACCTACACAAAGGTAGTTTTCCTCCAGGTGAGGCAGCTGTGCCTTGTACAAACACACTGAATTCGTGACATAACGGCGGCAGCAGAGGGACTTTGGAACTCAGGAGCAAGTACAAAGCATTTACTCCATCAGTTCCTCTCCAGGGAAACACTCCGTGCAGCAGTGGCAGTAGAGACTTCAGGATGTTTCCATTTAGACCAGCAAGAACGGATCTGTTCCCACCTCCGTGAAGGGAATGCACATTACAAGCACTCCGAACAGCAGCATATTTCCAAATCCCTTCAAACAAAAAAGTAACATGGAAGTTGTGCATCCTTTGGTATAATATTTGCATAAGGAACGCAATCAGCAGCGCTGAACCCCTAGGGTGGGCTGATGATTGCAGTTAAGGGGAGTTTTCTGCCAGGTTCCTTATCCAGATGTACACAGACATAAGAAAATGAAACATATTCCCCTGGCACTACATTTTCCCTAATGGTAGATTCTGGGAAGAAGCATTTGGACCAAGTATCTGCTATTGCTGTGCCACACAGTTATTCTTTAATTTAAAAAATATTCCAAAGAAAACATTAAATTAAATTTCAATTCACTTTATTGTTGATGTTTTTGTGGTTTTTTTAAAGTCATTATAAGGATGAGTGATCCAAACTGAGAATTTTTTTAAACTTTTTTTTTGTTTCACGTTTCCCAATCTGAAGAAGACAAGAAGGGGCAAGCAATTCCTAGAGAACTATCAAGCATGAATTTTATCACAGGAGGTACGTAAAGAGAGTATTTGTTTACAAGACTGATATCACAGGACTAGATGAACTTCTGTAAGAGAAACACTAGGGAAGTGATGAGTAGCTTGGAAACACTTCAGCTGAGAGGGTTTTTTCTCCCTACAACAATCATGTCTTAATTGTAGCTCCCTCTTGAGCTGAAGAAAACCTTAATTTGTAGCTGCCGTTTAAACATTTGGTACATTCCCCAAATTCCTCCTGAGCAGACCAAAGCAGGCAGGATGGCAGCCAAGGATCTGGTCCATGAGGTGAAATTCTAAATGCTGGGTAGAGCTTCAGATTTCCATTAAGGCCACAGAAACAATTTAGCTGTTGTTGAAGAACATCAGATCTCAACACTGACCCAAACAAAATGCTTCAAAGCCATCCCAGGGCACATTTTTATTCTCCAAAAGGTTTTCAAGAGAGCAGTTCAAGACTGTAAGAAACTGAAGTTGTTCACTTAAAATTCCTGAAGTTTAACAAAATGTTACAGCTAAGTGGAATGAAATATATATTCAACTTTATACTGAAACATTTTTTGTGGCAAAGGAAATTGTACTTATTTTAAGAGTTTGCTATTCAGTGAGGTCTTTGCTTCGTATGGCTTTACTTTTAGACAGCCGAAGTGATGTTTTCATTTTATTTCTGACCTTGCAAATACAGACTTTCAATTTTCTTATGTTTTGTATGAGTCAAGAGAGCTTCCAAGAGGTCATTTGTGTGTACTGCTCATCATGAGGGCTGCTAGGAATAATGCACGTTTCATTTGTGAAGAAGTGCAACAGCCACTTAGAGTAGAGGCCTAGGCAGGAAGTGCCCAGAACACCTGACTAATCTGGGGCTTAAATACTCACTTTGTGAGCAGATGGTCTTTAACAGAAATCTTGGCCCTCCCCAGGGCTGCACATATTCCTGGGTCAAAGCACTTGGGGAAACCAATGGACAACACTGGAGCAGTCAGAGGTACATCACTGCAGCAAAGCAATCAAAAGATCAACAATGTGTGTGGAAACCAGGAAAGATGTAAGGACAGGTTAAAAAAAGAGGATCAACTGGGAGAAATCACACAGAAAATACATGGGTTTGCAGTTCATTGCAGCAGCTGGAACTGGAGGCACAGATTTAGGTCAGTGTGGAATTCTCTGCTGCACCACACGTTGCACCTCTCTTATTTTCTCACTGGGGCTGCTGGACTTTGATAAATAAAGCTTCTGGAGGGCAGAAGGACCAGTGATGTCGTGCCAGAGACTCACTCCCTCCTTTCCAAATGATGAGAGTGGCCTAAAGCCTGTCCCAACACCTGCTGCTGGAGCAGCTCCCTCACCACCAGCTCCTGACCAGTGCTGGCTGCAGAAGCTGGTGCCAGTCCCAGACTTGCGTGGCCTCTGGTGGATTGTGGAGATCCACTGTGGAGCTGCTGCACCCGCCCCAGGCCTTGTTCCCTCCCCCTGGAGAAGCTCTCTGGCTGCTGCTGTCCCAGAGCTGGCAGAAGTAAATCCTTGAAGGTTCCCCAAAGGAAAGGAATTATTTATCCATGACTGACACTCCTGGCAAGCACCTTGCTGCCCGAGCAGGGCAGTGTGTGTGCTCTCTCTGCCTCTGCTGCTGGAGCACTCTTAGGTGGGATTCATTTACTCCTCAGTGAACCAGAAAGATGTTGGCAGAATAACTGATTTGATAGCTCAGTGATTCTGTCACGCTCTTGCTATGTAGGAGACCAAAGGTTCTCTCTGGCCTAAAAAAGCATCACTCCTGACAGGCTGGGAGGCATTGCTGGCCACTTAACTCCTGCCTCTGGAAGCACCACAGGGAGAAAGAAATGAAAAATTAATGCCTTATTTTTTATCTTTCTGTGCGGGGCAAGGACAAAAATACGGGCTTGAGCAAAACAGATGTTTTCATTTGTTGGCACTGGAAAGAAACAAGGAATGCTCTGATAGGATTTAAGTTTAGTCTCAGAATTTTAAAGAATATATTTTTCTTCTCTTTTTTTATTTCAAGTATTCTTAATTAAGAATATGGCTTTAAAATAAAGCTTTTGAAGAGAGTGATTTATTTTTAATGCACTTGTTCTGGTTATTTTGAGCTGAGTAATTTTTAATGAATTCTTAGCAAACAAAATATCCCATTGTTTACACAGTTCTTTTTACAAGCAATTAGAGTCAGTAACACTCCATGAATAAGACCTTTTGCCACTGGCTTTCATGACATGGATTTGAAATATAAACATTACTAAAAAGATATTTCAAGTTGTGAATTAAATGTTTCTTGGGGCTTGGAGCAACCTGGTCTATGGAAGGTGTCTCTGCCCATGGCAGGGGCTCGGAATGAGATGAGTTTTGAGACCCGTTCCAACCCAAACCGTTCTGTGATTCCATGATTCTCTGATTTCTGGAAGTCTGAGCACCAGTCTTGAACCCTGTGTGACTGGCTGACTCAGAAAGGATGAATGTTTCCCCTTCCAGGGCTCCCAGGGGTTTGTTACTTCTGGTTCAGTGATGATAGACTTGGAAATATGTGCACTTCTCTGGCCTCGTTTTAATATTACCTTGCCACCTAAACCCAAGAGAAAGATATGCATGTGGAAAAGCTGGCTGTGACAGCCTCAGTATCATCAAGGTGAGGAACTAAGTGTGATCTTGGCTGACAAACTCCACAGAGGCTGCCAGGGATGCAAGGGAAGCAGGAAACAGAGGAGCCCACATTGGCATGCCAGCACTGAAATTGTGCCGAGTCTTCCTTCTGAATGCTTTTGGTGAGTGCTTTGTAAACATTTCCAGGCATTTCCTTAAAAAAAAAAAAAGGGAGAGGTGACTCCAAGCAATTTGATCTACCACACTACCACACGTTTTAGATTTGGAGCATCCTTTCAATGAAGGAAGTTGAAGAAGGAAATTAATAATAACACCCCCTGCTTCCCATCCACAGGCATTCCCAGCACCGGAGATGGAAAAGCTTTCCAAGGGGAAGGAGCAGTAACAGAGTTAACCAGAACTGATAAAGAGGCAGGCTGGAATTTTATAAGGGAAATAAGTCAGTGTTGAGGTTTTAGAAGTAGGGGAACATGGTTGGGGGGTAAGAAAAGGGGAATATTTTAATGACAAAAGTTTGGACAGACTGAATTGAAGACAAAAGTTTTGCTCAGGAAAGGGGAAGATCTTAAAGAACTCAGTGTATATGAGATACTTTTGACTGGAAAGAAGCTGAATTTTAAGAAAAACACAGTTGTTGGACTGTGGAGATTTTAAACCTAAGTAGAAGAGAAGTGCAGCAGCTGGTTTCATGACCCAGACAGCAGGGAGTGCTCATGGTAAGAATAAAATAGACCTGAGAATAAGGATATGCACTTCCGAACCATGTCCCTAATCACCACACCTACTTGTCTTTTAGATTTCTACAGGGATAGTGACTCAAACACTTCCCTGGGTAACATGTACCAGGGATGGACAACCTTTTCCATGAAAAAAAAATTTCCTAATATTCAACCTAAATCTCCTCTGGTGCAACTTGAAGCTGTGTCTTGTCCTATCTCTGGTTCCCCCTGCTTTCATGGTGCCAAGAGCTCCTGTAATGAACTCTACCATTCTCAGTTTATCAAGCAAATTCAAGAGCATCCCATCAGTTCTCTGCCTACATCCTCCCCAGATATCCATGAAAGTGCCAAGTGTTTGCTTCTGGCTTATATGTGGGTCAGCTGTGAAATAATCAGCATCTCCTCCAGTTGACAGAAGCTCCTTTCCCATCCTGATTTCTATCTAGAAATGTTCTTGATTCTGAATTACGGGTAGGTCTTTCCATTTATTAAAAAGAAAAAGACACCTGGTAGAATCAGAGGAAAGAAAAAGATGGTATTTCCTGGATAATATCCCTATAAAGAAGTAGCTTCTCTGTTTCTCCATTAGAGAACCATTTGCCAAAGATCAATTAAAGCATGGTTGGGACACGAAATGAAATATCAATCCAGCTGGAAATGGTAACAGATATTAGTAGACAACAGACACACCTTAGTTACGTGCACTCACCAACAGGAAGGCTTGGGTTGCCTTGTCTTGGGAAGAACAAGGATCAGCACGATACACAGGGAATTCCAGTAGATGTACCATCACTGCAGGCAGGCAATGCAAAGGGTGCAAAAAACACTATCAACAGAGGAAAAGAATTGTATCAGACATAGGAAAATATTATTCCCATATTGAATTATAATTTAAAGGACATTTCAAAGTATTTTAGGAGTTTTAAAATGTAAACAACAGTTAAAGATTTATATGGGGTTTAATGTGTTTTAGATGTTTTGAAGTGTTGCAAAGGCACACATTTATACCAGTATAAATTCAGAATAACTGAAAATTAAGCAATCATAAGACTGTGGATTAATTTTGAACTCTGTCCTCCAGCGAGATGGGTGACCATGTTTGTATTCCATAGGATCCCTTCAGCGTGACCACAACAGAAGTATGGAACTGTTACCATTCTGGGGAGCTGCTTGGTGCCTCCTCCTGCTCCCACACATGGGGCTACAGAAGAGCAGTAACAACACAAACAAACTGTACTACCAGTGAAAACATCACTGAGGAGAAAACTCCTTTCAACTCTTGTGTAGGAGTAGGGAAGCTTGCTGATGTTATTGTAGGAGAAGATCCTTCTATTATTTGCCACATGGTAACTCCAAAATATCCTAATGAACTAAATAGTGTCTATATGTATTTCTGCATGCTGATATTTATATACACACACACATAAAATGGGTAAGAGATTCTAGATCTTGATAATTAACTGGATACATGTGGGAGCCATCTGGACGACCCATTTCCCAGTCTTATTCCTTTCAACACTTGCTGAACCCTAAATTATCACAGCTTTTTAGGCATGCTGGCTGCAGTTACTGTGGTGCTGGGACATTGTGCATCCAGCCTCTGTGAGCCCTGTGGCTGCCTCCTCTGGGCACTTCAGTAATGAAGGAACTATTGGAATAAAACCTTCCTAATCCACTATGCTGGACAAATTGGGGGCTTTATCATCACCTAGACAAAGTAAAGTGACAAGAAGTGGAAAATAACTCTGCAGAGCTGAGTATAGTATCTGTGCCCAATTTCCTGAAATGTAAGGTGACTCAGCTGGAGGCAAATTCCATGTGCTTTTCTGCACAAAGGTGAGGATGTATGTTTGTAAACAGACAAATTAAGTGTTCTTTGCATGGTTTATGGGCTCCTTCTGGAGTGACAGCCTTGATCTCCCCCAGCACCAAGAGATTATGGATAACACTGATCAAACAACAACTGCTGGCACAGTGTTGATTTTCACTTCACAGGAATTTTCATTTCTATGTCTATTATGACATATATACAACTACAAACCTCTGTAAGGATCCTTCTTGCAGGCTCTGAATACTGCTGTGTTTGGTGTATCCAGAGGAGAAACACCTCCCAAGCAGGGGACAGTAGCTGGGTTTCAGCAGGAGCAGCAGCTCCCAGGGCTGTAAATTGCATCAGCAATGTCCAGCCTTCAGAGTAACTAGAAACAGAGACACTGCAAAGGGCCACCCTGGATAAAAGCTTCCCTCCTAATGCACTGCAATCTTCTCTCCTTCTTTATAGCAGTGAACAAAATGTCATCCCCACCTGTTTCTCTCCCTTTTTTTATATAAGTTACTTAAAAAATGTCAAACTGTATAGGTTATCTATTGTCATTTAAAAGAGATTCGTGCCTCATCCTAGTGCATGATTTGTACCAGAGTGTTTTCTGGTCCTTTCTCCTTAAAATATATTCTGTCTGTGCTCATTCAAAGCACAACTTTTTAAAATTAAAGGAATAGTTTCTGAGACTTCACAAGTTGCAGAAACAGGTCGCTTGGAGGACTGTCAGTATTTGCAGGGCAGGTATTAGAGAAAGTTACTTTGAAGTATCCCTTTGAACAGCAGATTTGTGGAATGATTCTCTTCCAGCTCACTTCTGCAGGAATTCTGAGAAACAAATTGATTTTTTCCCCCCTTTTTAATTCTATTTGTGCTTTGAAACATTGGTAATTATTCAGCCTTTATTTCATGTCACGCACTGCTAACCCTGGATTTGTTTGGGGGTTTTACTGTTGTTTTTAGCAAACAGAAGGTGTCAAACCCAAACTAGGTTTCATAACAAAGCCATTACATAACTGCCCAATTAGCAGCTCGTTCAGTGCTATTAATAGCAGCTCCACATCCAACCCGCTCTGTGTAGTGTTACAATAACTGGCAAGAGGAGGCTTCTCATTAGTTATTCATTCTCAGAGGAGAATAAATGAACTTGGTGGAGATTTATGAGATGCAGAGTAACGTGCTGTTTATTAGCTGCCAGGCTGCTGCCTCTTCCACTGCTCTCTGCTTTTCCTGACTCCCAGGGGATGTTCAGCCCCAAGAACCACCCCTTCAAGCCTGTGTGGACATCCTGTGTGCATCCCAGACAGCGACACGGCTCCCACCAAGGTGGGCTCAAAACCAGGAACCCCTTGGAGTCTTTTTCTTTGGCACAGTGTCTGTAATTTGGAGTTACCTTTCATTGACTGACATGCTGTAATTAATTCTCTAGTGACAGTGATGTTTCACCCCACGGTTGGCTGCCCTGGTCCTCCACTTCAGCTGCTCTGCGCTGGGTGTTGGTCATGCTGTGACCACTCAAACACAAATACCCAGAGCAATCTGAACAGTCTTTTGAAAAACATTTTTTTTCCTGGAGTTTTGATCATTTTAAGCCACTTGAGCTGCTGACCACATAATCTGATCCAGAACTTCTTGTAACTTTCAGCACAATACTTTTTTTTACTTCCAAAGAGAGATCAGATCTGATTTCTATTTTTAAAATATGCTACTTTAACTGTTGCAGCATGTGAGCTGGTTTGATCTTACATTCCTCTGTTCCTGAACTCCTGTGTGGAAATAAAGAATTTGTGAAGAGATTTTCTGTGGCCTGATGACAACCTTACATTCTCTACCACAGTGACTTCCTTTTATATTGGACCTCTCATCTGATAAAAACATGGGTCAAATCTCTCTATATATATCTACACATGTTTCTAAAATAATTTCTTCTCCTGAGGTCCATATTCTCTTCTCCTTGGGTGCCTCCACTGTTCCTGAATTCCAGACTGGTTAAGGTTTTACCTCTCTTCACTGTATCATGCTTCTCATCAGGGGCTGTCTAGGGGGATACCAGAGGTTCTTGCACTCCTTTCCCCTAGGCACAAGCTGCTTCAGAATTAAGGATTTACTTACAAAATGAGCTGCATAATTAAAGGATCTGACTGAACATTGATTCAGGTTTTTGTTCCTGCATTGCTTCCTTGTTGACATAGCTGTCCTTCAGACCTCTGTACTTGTCCTATAGTTGTATGTCCTCCCTGGGGAAAAAAAAACAAGAGGAGAGAGATTTCCAGAGTCACCTGCATGGGTTAGCTAAAGTAGAAAAAGAACAGGCACATTCTTTCATGGGCTTATTGAATCACAAAATCCCCAACCATGGTTTTCCTTTGGTTTGTCATTTCATTTCTTCCTCTTATCCATGTTCTCACTTTTCTCTCCTACCACAAACTATTCTATCAGCAATGTAACACTGGAATGCAAAAACATGAAGAGTAAACACTTTTTTTTTCCCATCCCTAGATAATCTCTGGTGTTCTGTATAGGTATAATCATAAATATTTTTCTTTTCTTTATTAGTATATTGTGACAGTGTACTAGTATTTTATGTTCACATATTAATCATCCATTTTAGTTAAATTAATTACGTATTTTGTCCCTTCTTACACATTTTTATACCTGCAGGATACACAAAGAGCCCCACGCTGCTCATGTACAATGATGGTGCTATTCACAGCCCAGGTGGTCTCACCACCTTTTCCATTTGTGGCTGATTCAGCACAAAGAAATTCTTGGGCCGCTGGTGAGAAAGTGGAGGAGAAATGATTGGACTGGAGATTCCAGCACTTTTTGTTCTTTCACACTGAAAGGAAGTATGTTCTTTAATACTGCAGTGTGAGAATGTGCAAGGGTACAAGTGGCAAGCTGGAAAACTGGTACTGCCATTAAGGGAATGCTACATTTTGGTTTGTATAGGAGACCAAGCTTACTTGTGACACAAAATTACTTTTCTGCCTTCCTCCAGAACAGAACTAAATGCTGCTCCAGGGCCTGAATTCCTGCCCACTGTATTTCTGAGTGCTTGATTTCAGAACTAGGTAGAAAACAGCAATCAAGTTTTCTTTCTGAAAACACTTTCAAAGATATTGCCTTGGTTTTGACAAATTTTATAGAAAAATGGGGGAAAAAACTAAGTTAAAACCAAAGGAAGATTTGAGTAACAGTTTTTCAAAACCCAGTAAGACATTCAGAACTGGAACAGGCTGAACATCTCTGAATTGTGTCTGAGCTTCAAAAGAGACATTGCAGGGACTGCATTAAATTAGGCTTAGGCTGCTCTTCTCCCACTTTGCTGAAAAAATGAGTGTCCTTTCTGTGTAGAATAACTGGGTAGGATAAGCTTTAAGAATGGCTGGCAAAGGACTTGGCATGGAAAAGCAGGCTTCCCCTCCAACCCCACAAGCCAGCTCACCCTTGCTGTGGCTCTGCTGAGTGAAAGCCTTACAGAAAAATGACTGTGACCTATTTTGTTTCATAGCAAACGTGGCTCTGATGCTCAGATAAAGATTCCTGTATTTCCTGAGTGCTCAAAGCTACTTACATGGGAGAAGATTGCTTGGTAAGTAAGGATTTGTAGGATCCAACGAGCCTAAGAGCATAAGAAACACGGGGCTGTGTCAAATCACGGGCCCCTCCAGCAGAAGGAAATGCCAAGCAGGGAGAAACTGTTCCCTGTGAGGGCAGTGAGGCAATGGCACAGGCTGCCCAGAGAAGCTGCGGCAGCCCCTAGATCCCTGGCAGTGTCCAAGGGCAGGCTGGATGGGGCTTGGAGCAGCCTGGTCTATGGAAGGTCTATCCTGCCCATCCCAGAGGCATCACAGGAGCTTGCTGGGACTCCTAAATCTGGCTTTATGTGATCTGTACCCAGCACCAATACAATTCAGACACAATTAAAAAAATATCAAACCATTCAAGCAGCTTTTCATCTGACAAACCTCTAAGTGAAGGATTAATATGCCCTGAGAGATTCAGAGAGATAAAAGCTTTGTGTTTAGTTCAACAGCCCTGCCAAAAGGTTCAGAAAGCTGTTTCCCAAGTGTTAAAATATAGCCCTCATCTGCATTTGTAATTAACCATCGCTGGAAGTATGAACAACAACAGCTCATGCATAAACTCACCCTTCATCCATCATCGGCAGAAAAATTAGTTTATCCGTGATGTAAGATTTCTTCTTTACTTCAGCTTGTGGAGATAGGATGCTGGTTGTATTGTTTCTTTCATCACCTTCCCAATCTCAGCCGAAAAATAAGAAGACATCTACTTGACCTTGAAGCCTCTGATATGAGGAAAAGGTATTATCTAGATGATTAAAGTGAAGTGGTTTCTACACAGTTCTCTGTTCTGCCTGCAGTCAAGGTTTACTCATTTCTCTTCAAAGCAAAAAAAAAAAAAAAGCAAAAAAAAAAAAAAGAAAAATATTAAAATCATCAAGTACCAGTAATGCACTGGGGTTTTGCCAATTATGCCCATTTTGGGGAACTCCTAGAAACATTAAAAGTTTCTGGTGTGTTTTTCTTAACAAGCAGGGTTGAGTATCAGTCCCAAACATTTTTCCTCAGTAGGGCACATTTGCTCTGCCTTTCAGACTCCTTTTTTTTTTTTTTTTTAAGGTGGATGAGTATAGTCAATAACTGAACTACTGGTAATGGAATTATCTCCTGTGTCTCTATAAAAGGAAAGCATATGCTTTTATACAAATTATTTATAAGCAAGTGGCACAGTCTAAGTTATGAGCATTATAAATAATGCCTGTCAGTTGAAATCTTTCTCAAGTTGAAAATTTAGGTTACACTAAGCTAAGTGAATGGAATAACAAGGAACTGGGGAGATTCAAGGTAGAAGTACCTCCCCATTTGCATAATGATGGCACAGGAGGCCAGCTGCTCAGGAAATGAATGCTGAGACACAGCAGCTGATCTTCTCGAGGTGCTTTCAGCGTGCCCCAGGTGCTGGCCCAGCTCAGAGGTGCCTGCAGGCAGAGTGCTGGGCTGCTGTTTGCAGGGAAACAGGCACGGACACCTACTGAACCTCTGCCTCTGACAGTCCTGACGGTGTTTCAGTGCTGCCAGCAGCTCATGAGTTCACCCCAAGAAGCTGCTGCTTTAGGGGAGCCTGGGCTCAGTGCTGCCTGGCATGAATTGCTGGCTTTCCAGCCCAGGACTTCTGGACAGGTTACCTGAGAGCTTGGCAACTACCTGGATATCATAAAAACTGAAGAGGTTATTCAGGAAAATAGCAATAGGCAATGAAAGGGCTCCCACAGGAGATCCTGAATCAGAGAAAATGTCTTTGCTTGCTGTCTCATCTTTAATTAATTTACAAATACATGTACCTAACTGAGCATTTGCAAGTTCACTTCTTTTTAAACAGATTGATAGGAACAGAAAGGGTTGAATCTATGAAACTGCAATGTGAATGACAACATTTGAGGCAACAGAAAATCTCAACAAGGAATTGACAAGCTACTTGGTTTTCTTTTCCATTTTTTCACTCGATTCCTTTGCAGGTCAGCCTGCCCACAGGCCTTGTCTTTGTTGTAGGCACACAGGAATTAAACATATAGGAGCCAAAGGATGTTTCTGGGCAACATCAGTCATCTATAATATGGGCAGCTTCCCCTCTCGCCTTCCTCTGCTAATCAGATTAAAATTCTACTCCAAGCCAATACAACATTATCAGTTAGAAAACTTTGCTTTGTAGCCAGCCCACACATACCCATTTTCAGCTTGGAGCCATTTGTTCAGCTCCACTGTTATCCTTTAATTTCCATTAAGCTTGTCCCCAAATGCTGTTAATACCATTTCTGTGTTCAGAGTGCAGCTGCATCCTCTCTCAGTCGTTGGTTTCGGGCTCTGATCAGAAGACAGGTTTTTCTTTTCCCTGTCATCCTTGAATGGCTGTTCAGATCAGGCTGTTCCATCCCCCTGGCAGCTTTTCAAATTGGATTTTCTCTTTTTTAAATATGGTAAAGCCAAATTCTATGCATTACTTAAAATTACATGTCTAAATCAGATTATAATTATTTGGGGGACATCACCTTCTCTATGTCTGCTTAAAATAGCAAAAAAATACTATATCTACTGTGACAAATTCTGGCACCACAAGTCCCATTTAACCATCATCTGAATAAGACAAAAACAAGCCCATCTCTAAATAGTTGTTTCCAAGTGATAAGGAAACTAGATGCTCAGACACCCAACCAGAGACAGCCAAGATTTAACTGGGGTTTTATCCAAAAGAGGAGACTCCCTCCCTGTCCATGAGAGAAAAGAAAGTTTGGGCTGGGACATTGGTTGTGTAGAGTATACTAGATTTTTGATTCATCAACATTTTTCCTCTTACCTGTGCTCATTTGTATACCGTGATAAAAATAATTTATTTCTGTGGGAAACAGTTGTGTTTCTGTCCCTATTGTGTTAAAAAAAAAAAAGCATGCTACATAGTGTATTTTACATTAGTCAACTTGCAGACCACTCCACTATATACATATTGCACATACATACACTGATATGTATCATAGTGATCAATATCCCACTGCTCTATTTCCTAACAAATCATTTCTTAAGAACAATCTAAGGATTCTCTGCGCAGCTCATAAAGGCCCCAAATCCCATTTTTTCCCTGACTTCAGCAGCGCATTACTGTGTTTCCAGGAGAGATAAACATGAGTTACCACGTCTGACTGTGCAGTAATAGCTGTCCAGGGATTTACAACCTTTGCTATCTTCTTGTTGCAAAGGAACCTGCCAACCATGAGCTTTTCTTTCAGGAAAAACAATTAGCCATGCACAATGAAATCATGAATTACTGCTATTTCGGAACTTCTCCGAAGTTTTGGCAGGGTTGCTCTGGAGACCCATACAACCTCTCCTGACGGCTGGCACCCCATAAATATCAGGGTCAAGAGCAATCTCTGCTTATAATTGTCTAAAGGAATTCATTTCTGGCTCCTTTCATGATGTCACTGGCATTGTGAAAAATAATTGCTGAGGTTAAAATGTCTCTCGGTGACTTGTCTTGCAGTAAAATTGCTGCGAAATTGCTCACTCACAGTCACCACAACCCCCCAGGGCTGGTATCTGTGACCTGCCCACTGCCTGATTGCAACTATTAGTCTGGGAGGTTGGATGGTTCAGGGAAGATTAAGATAAATTCTCTGCATTGATCTCAGATTGAGAGGAGAAATGCCACTTCTTCA